ATGGAAATTGCACAGCTTTTCTTGTGCTGCTCGAAGAGAAACCTGCATGGTGACCACATTTCACAATACGCTGGTGGTGTTCCAGCTGTCTGCCAGTACGTATGTCCTATTTTGTTTGCTAAGCTTCATTAGAAGTTTAAGTTTTCTGCAGCCATTACAGCACTGGCCAAATGTATTCCTTCCACTTAAACATCATAGATGATTTTCTGCCAAATAAGAATGTTTTGGCATCTTACTAACTAGTTTAGAATTAGTAGTCTGAATGGTTTTAATTAATGTTTCATAGAACAATTTGAAAGTCCTTCCTTCCAAGCTTAATCTTTATTAATTGAGTGGAAAGATGGCTATGTTCATAGTATTATGAACTTATGGTTTTCCTGTAAACTTGTAGAAAGGTGATCAGTATTAAAAATTCCACAGTTCTTGCACAAAAAAAAAAAAAAATCTGTTATTCCATTCTCAACAATGGAAACAACAAAATTGCTAGTCAAAGAAAACAAAAGGTTATCATATGTCTGCTGCTGAAACAGTTGGTGTTAGTGCCTTGTGCTTACAGAGCTTAAAGGACACCATTAGAGAGAGCCCGTCTAAAGTTCTGTGCCACAGCTTGATAGGTCATCTTTTATCTAGATACAGAAGTACTGTTTTCCTACTCTCCAAGTATTGTTGATGTCAGTACCTTTACTATTTTAGGACTGCTGGCAGCTCTTAATGATCTATGTTGCATGCCAAGCTTTTATGGATTTAATACGCTAATTTATATTGTTGCAGTATTAATACAGCATCACAGTACTTGAATGTTAAGAATTAATTCTTTACTTAGGCAACCTAAATTCTGCCAAGGTCCTTATGTTTGATAATCCTAAATATGAAGAGGGGAAAATGGATAGGCAGGGTGCTTTAGGTGAAACCAAGGCAGCTTATATTCTTAAGTTGTTTGCACTCTATATAGTGTGGGTAGACATCACTCAGAAAAGTGAATGTTTTTGGTATATTATAGTCTTGAAGCTATAACTGTACGTAGCTCTCTCTGGCATGACAGAAAATATGTTGTGTTGGGTTTGTGTGTGTGTGTGGGGGGGGTGTTTGGGGGGCCGTTTTTGGTAGTGAGGAAAGGGCCACCTTGTGAGAGCAAAAACCTCCTCTGGCTACAAGGCAGAGACCCCCCAGCCCAGGCTGAGCCAGTGAGCACTAGAGAAACGCCTCTGCAAATCCATATTGGTGAGGGGAAGGACTGTCCTGAAAAGAAGAAGGTGGAGAGAACCTGAAGAAGAGACCATTGACCTGAACAAAAGACAAGCATTGGACTAAACAGAGAGAGCTTCATTGCCAGAAGGAAGGAGGAGGAGGGGGAGCACAGAGAACCTCTGATACCCAGTTCAACCACATGGAGTAGGAGAAGGTCAATGAGGTCCCCTGCAGCCTGTGGAAATTCAGTGGCAGAGCAGATACCCATGTGTAGGCCATGGAGGACTCCACACTGGAGCAGAAAAGCTGAGCCTGAGGGCAAGTGTGACTGGAATTGAGGTCCCGAGAGACGCTCAATGCCAGAGCAGGGGTGAGGGAGTGCGCTGGACCAGAGACCTGACTGCAGCCTGTGGATGTCCCCATGCTGGAGCTGGGAGCTGAGAGGTCCATGACTCCATGGGAAGCTGGCTTTTGAACATCTTGTTCCTGGACTTTCATGCTGGGAAGAGTGGCAATGGTGAACTGACTGCAACCCCTGTTCCCTGTCCCGTGTGCTGGTGGGGGGAGAAGGTAGAGAAATCAGGAGCAAAGTGATTTGAGCCTGGGAAGAAGGGAGGGGTGGGGGAAGGTGTTCTAAGATGTGTTTATTACATCTAGTTAGATGATTTGCAACAAATTAAATTGATTTTTCTTCCCCAAGTTTGAGTCTGTTTTGCCCGTGACCATAACTGGTCAGTGAGCTGTCCAATTTCCCATCCTAATCCCGTGTCCCCTTTGTTGTGTTTCCCTTCCCATTTCACCAGGTGGCAAGGGGAGTGAGTGCAGGACCACATGGTCCCACTGTGGTTAAACCACCATATATGTCTACATCATCACCACCACCGCCTATAGGAGGGGAAAACCACAGTATGTCTATTGTCATGCAGCATTGTTTGAATGCTCTAAACTGATGCTGGATTTTTGTTGTTGCTGTTGATTCTTATTTTTTTTTACTCTTGTTCAGCCCCCAGACTGATACAATAGTAGGCAGGTATTCTGGAAATCTGTTGATTCTCATGATGATTTGAATTAATATAATTTAGGCTTATCTTTAGCTTTGTCAAGTTTCCAGATGACAGCTTTTAAATAAGTTTAAATACGTTGGGGGAAAAAAACCCACTTTTTAGAGATTTTTTTTCTTGCATGTGTAAGTCTTGTGTAATTTACATTAATAAACTATAAAAATATTTGCTTGAGGCCAGTAGACATGAAGTTTCCACTTTTTAGATCGAGCTTGTTTTCAGGCATTGGGACTCCTGACACCTTTCTGTAGCTGAAGCCAAGTGGGTAAGAGATGAAGTGCTGGCCCATGCAAGGTGTTTGGGAGGCCAGTGCTTTGGCCTGGGGCCAGTGGGTGGCACTTGGGCCAGGGACAGTCTGCTGTGTCTCTCTTGGTGGCTGCAGAAGAACAGCTTCTGCTCTATGGCATCTCCTACCCTGGGTATAGGAAGCCTAGTCAACAGATAGCTCAGGAAATTGAGAATTTTTTTGCCTAGCCCCTTTCTGAAACATTGGGGCAGTTGACCATGGGAGGCCTCTGCTGCAGTGAGGGCTTAGGTGAGCTCATTTGTATCTCCTCAAGGTACTTTGGGCACAAAAATTGGTTGCTCTGAGGCATGCTTCCTGTATACTTGTTTACACTTACACTGGGAAGTTAACTTTTTTAATTAAGATAGAAGTTTCCTGAAGTTGATTTAGCTCAGTATAGAAGAGCTACAACATGATATTGTCCCATTAGCTTTTGTGGTGTTGGCAGTAGATGAACTGTGAGTGTTCTGCTGCATCTCAGTACAACCACACACAGTGTAAGCTGTTTTGGAGAAAAGTTTAATAACTAAATATCTTGCATAAGAAATTTTTAGTAGAACATAGCCAAAGAAGAACATGTCAGACAATCCCCTTATTTTTTCTCAACAGCTTGCAGAAATAGGTTCATTCTGCTTAGTAAAGCATGGAGTTACATGTTCCCAGTTGAGAGTTCTGGATTAAAGAAATACAGGGTTTTTTGTGAAGATCTTGTGGACTGAATGCCAGGCAGAAATTCTAAACTTGAGTACAGTTTTCTGTACTTAATTTGTATGTGTGTATTATGAAATTGGCCAGCTCAGCTGCTTGGCACGTTGATGGCACTCGGATTAGTCATGGAGAGAAGTCAGTCTTCGGCCATTGTATTTCAGCAGCTGGTTTATTTTGTACATAAGACATTGCTATGTTTTATTTGATGAAGAGCCCACCAGTGGAATGCTGTTACATCATGAGACATAACTTCAGTTAGTATTAATTTCTAGAATGACACTTGAATTAAATATTAACATTTTCTGTGCTTTAAGTAAGTAAACAAAGGACTCTGTGTTTTAATCTCCCTTCTCTGCAATGATGGGTAAAATGGGAACCTGTATTTTGAACTCAAACACACACACACAAAAAAAGCTTGACTACTTAATTATCTGTATTGATTTAGCAAGTTCAGAAAGGTCTTTTTGATATTTTTTATTTTTTTGTAATTATTATTTTTTAAATCTAAAAATGTTAGGAAAGACAATGTTAGCTTTTTAATTTTGCTGGAGATGCTGGATACTGTGGGGTATGGGAAGAGGTTAAACTTGGTTTCACAAGGAGAGTGGGGAATGTTGCAACTTTTCACAAACTCATCTTTTTTCCTTCCAACATATTGTAAATTATTAGCATAAATGCAGTGCCTCTTCACAATTTGAGTTTCACTTTCTTGGCACTGTGGGGTTTAAATCCTATTAAACCTGCTGTGGTCTGTGACTTAAGTCTTTACCTGTGTAGGATAAGTTGCGGGATCAGTCTGTTGCTGGAGTAGGTGAGCTCTCTCTTTCCAAAATAAACACCTAATATCCGATCAAGGAAAAAAAAAAAAGTTAATTATAGATTGTAAAACCAAGGGGAATGAATGGGAGGGCAAATTTTCCCTGTGCTTCTCTGTTGAGCATGTTTAAAATACTATAGACCTTTCCTGCTACCCTTTCTTCATCAAAATGCTAGTCCGTGGTAATTAAATGAACTTAGTGCTTGCTGCCTGTACAGGAAAACAGTAATGCAGTTACACAAGTGCTGAGGACTTTAGTTCTCAGCCACTACTTTGGACTTTCAATTTTGCAACCTGAAGTCATCGTGTTCTTGTACCGTCTTGGCTCCAGGCTCCATGTTACCCTGCGAGGTTCTTTGTAGGTGTCCCTGTACACACCTGTTTTCACATCTTACTGTCCGTAAAATAGAACGTTATCCGTTCCTTAACTGCAAAGATGTATAACCCATTTTTCTTGATCTAATGTACATCATTCAGATCTTATAATAATGGGAGGAGTGGACAGAATGCAAAGAGTACAGATAATTGCAAGTGGATTTAAGTAGCATATCCAAAGATGTATCCACTCAGTACTGAGGAGGCAGATGATAGAGGGGCTACCAGATGAATTTTATATAGCTAATCAGGCTTTAATTTAAATTTGAAAACTGACAGTTAAGCAATTAATAAAATTCTTGTTGTAAAAAGTAATTTACCTATCATCTAAAATTACTGTTCCATTTATGTGATTAAGTGTAAAGAATTTTATTATGCTGTTTTCTCGGCAAAAATAAATGTCTTCCGGTGAAAATATGTTTAGCAAAGTTAAGTGAAATAATCTAGCTTTTGAAATGAAACCTTAGCCTTGCATGTAAACATTTCATTTATTTTGCTAAGGCACATTTGGAAGAACTTTGTTTATAGAAGTGCTTAATTCTTTTTTATTTTTTTTTCTTTTCAGTCATTATTTAATCTACTGGAGTTTCGAAGACTAGTTTTGAATTTCAATCCTCCTGCAAATGCTCAAGACTTGCCTCGAAACCAAAAGGTAAAATGAGAAGCTACCTTCCCCTGGTGGCTGATAAGGCCATTTCTTTCTTGTAATTGAATTTTGCTGTCTTCTCTACCTCAAATTAGCATGGATTTTATAGGTGCCAATTAACACTTCTCTAAGCTTCCTATTAAGGATCTCACATAAAAGACATCAGCCTCACAGTAGAGTGCGGGGCAGAGCACAGAGAGGCAGAGTTTGCTTGGCGTACTGCTGCTTACACCAGGTTCAGTGGAAGGGCTTTGCTGATGTGGCTGCTGCTGGTGGGTGGGCATTTCTAATGTGAATGTAGCTTGTGTTAGCAAACGGGTTTGATTCTAATTCCTTCACGCTGTGCAGCTATGGGCATGCTTTTTGGTTACCCACGTGTTTTTGATCTGTGTAGCTTTGCCAGCAGCATTGTTAGTGTTGGCCTGGCCACTTCATTGTTTTTTGGTTTTGGGTTTTTTTTTTTGGGATGTCAGTTACTTGTAATTCGTTATATGAGTTTAAGCTTTCGATTATTAACTTGTCTCTTCTGGCCTTTTCAGGAGGTGACTGCAAGCTAAATTTTCCATAGTTATTCTAGTACTCATACAGGATGGGAGAGGGGGGGCCTAGGCTCAGGATTCTTGTGACCTCAAACTAGTGAGGGGAAGTGGTCATGGACTGAGGGACAAAACAGACCAATTTTTCTTCCTTCGTGGATGCCCTCTGGGGAGAGATGCGTGGGGTCACCTTGGTATCTATGTTATGAAACAGAAAGGAAGAAATGGGAAGAGGAAGTGTCTGTATGAAGTGTGAAGGCACTCAATGCCCTAATTTTTAGCAAGGGCTTACAGAGCAGGGAATTTTTGCATATCCAGAAATTAGACTATTGCCTTTTGCCCTTTTCTTTGGGATTTTAAAAAGGGAGTGTGTTGTTGACCTGTTCTTAGTTGTTTGGCACTTCAGGCTTGACTGGAATGTTCACTAGCAAAAATAAAAGCTACAATTAAAAAATCAAAAGAAAACAGAAGATAGAGTACATTTTCTAAAAGGGAAGCTGAATGTTCAGTCAGAACTGTATAATATCTCCCCTGCCCATGTATGCAAAGAGCAAGTTGTCTCATGGTTTTATGCAGGGTTTTTTTGTTGTTGTTTGGATGTGGGTTTTTTGTTGTTGTTGTTTTTTTGTTTTTTTTGGTTTTTTTTTTTAGGAAAAAATATTTGCATTAGGTCATAAGGTGGTGTGCAAATACAACTTGGCTACTATTGGGAACGTGTCACAAAAGGGTGACGGGACATTGTATTTTAGCAAGAAAGACAGGAAAAAGTCATGCTTTACTGAAGAGTTGTACTTAAATATTATTTTTTTAATTTTTAGATTTACTTTTTATCTGGTATTTTGTAATTTGTTTTACCAGTGTTCAGGAGTTCTTTACCTTAATTTTTCAGGGTATGAAAAGCAGTTGGTATCTGAGAGGTGGTATGAAATAGATAATAGCAAGCTGTTGTCTTTGAAAAATATCTTGCCCAAGCATTGACTCTAACAGCCAAGTGCCTTTATCAGTTTGAAGGTGCTATTTCTTAGAAATTCTTACTGTGACAGACAATATTAAGGCTGTGTGAAATGATGACAAGTATATGGATTTGTGCAGGAACCTTGCTTTCTGCAAGCCTGCTAGTAAGAATCCCTAGCAATAGTTTGTATCCTCTCCTTTGTTAGCTTAAATTCCATAATGAATTAACAATGTATTATGGCTTTAAACTGGAAGAGAGTAGGTTTAGATTAGATATGAGGAAGAAATTCTTTCCTGTGAGGGTGGTCAGACACTGGAACAGGTTGCCCAGGGAAGCTGTGGGTGCCCCCTCCCTGGAAGTGTTCAAGGCCAGGTTGGATGAGGCTTTGAGCAACCTGGTCTAGTGGAAGGTGTCCCTGCTGATGGCAGGGGGGTTGGAACTATATGAGCTTGAAGTTGAAAAATTATTGTCGTGGTGTTGAAATATGTTTTGGGGAGAATTTAGGAAAAGAGATTGCTTCACTAGTTGGAACTTAGACAGACAGAAGGAATAAGCATGTATGCCCCCGAATATGGTACTTTTATTTATTTATAAGATGAAGGCAAGTAGAGGCAAATTGATTTAAAGTTGTAATTAATATAAACTATCAGTTGACAAAAAACCCAACCCTGGAATTTACTTTCATCTGCTTACATGTTTTAAAACTATCTCAACTTAGTTTTGTTTTGGTTTTTATTTTTAACCTAGTATTAAGTACTGTATATGAATGACATTCACTAGGATCAAATGTCCTTGTTAATAAAGACCAAGTTTTAATAATCCCAGATTTTTCAAGACTTTAATTTACATCCTGTTGTTCTTCCAGTTGGTAGAAAGTAGAGTTTAATGCTAAGGTCATGACAATCTCTTGGTTTAGAATTAAAGCATGTGGTTGTACTTCATATTGCATAGCGGAGTGTTTCTGTTCTTTCCTATCAATGTATTGAATCCAAATGCTATTAATAATTTGGCATGAAAAAGTTTTAATCCACAACGGATTGGTATAATTTTTTACTTAAACAAACAAACAAAAAACCCCAAAACAAACCCCAAACCCACAAAACAAACAATCTCACCCTCTTTGCCTCAGCTAATTGGACTTTGTTTTTCTGGATTTTGAACTTGGACATACACTTAAAATCTTCAATCTGTCTTTGTTCTTTTTTCTTTGAAATTAATTTTTCTTCCGTGGTGTGTTCCTCAGCTTCCTTCTGTAGAACAAATACAGTTCTTCCTAGTTACTGCAGCTTCTTTGCTCTCTCAGTTCTCTTACCCCTTGCTGTCATATGAACAGATCTTTTTTGCTGTACACAATGAGGTCAACTGAATATTTGGCCTCGACAGTATCTTCAGGAAATGTTTTATTATCAGAGGAAGTAGGTTACAGTGCTACAAGTTGGCACATCCTTCCCCCTGTTTCAACATTATTGTTATGCCAGTGTCCTGGCATACTGATTGACAATAAGGAATGTTTGCTATTGCAATGCTTTAGAAGCATTTCTTAATCATAAATTGTTCCCACATCAGTGTATTAAGAAATTATGCAGATGGGGTAGATGATAAAATAGAGAATGTTTATGAACTTTCCATACAATTTTTATTTAGAAATTGATTTTAGTCCCTTTTTTGTGTTGGTGTACCTACGGTAAGCTTTAAAATTGAGAGCCGTATGCTGTGCTGTGGTCACTTTATTAGTTCTTCGGTTTTAATGTGCAAGTCCTTTGAGGAACTGCATACCTTGTCTTGAGGACTGGCTTATGTCCTGTTGAAGATTTTAGACTTTGTTTAGTCAGAGTCACTCTTTGTTGTGGTAATGCCCGTGTAATCTGGTGAAGGATCATGCCTAATGCATTAAATCAAGCTTTCTCCAAAAACAACAAGGATTTTTCCACTTTTAGAGAAGTTTTATAGGCTTTACAGAGATATTTGTTCCGAGTAATCCTAGTGACATCAGTACCCAGTTGTTCAACCAAAGGCTACAAGTATGGTTAAAACTCAGCCAAATTAGTAGTGTAAATTTGGGTAAAGCAATAATAATTGCTGTCTATGTACTTCAAATTTAACAAAAGGAAGGTGAGATCTAGGTTATTCTGTGGTCAGTTATGCATATGAATTATCACTGGTAATGAAGCATCTTGATAAAATATATCTGCATCAAAACCAAAATTCTGTTCATTTTTAATAGGTCACTTTATGAAATTAGTAAGAAAAAAATAACTTTCACAATATGTTTCCCTATTTTGTTGTTATAAAGTGCTTTAAATATGTAAATGGCAGACTGATTTTATTCTTAAATTAGGATGATTTAATGATGAATTAGGGTGGCATTTGATGAAGTGTTCAGCTTTTTCTGCGAGCATTGTTTATAATTGACAGATGTTTTGCAAGACAGACAAGAAGAACAAATAAAACTTGGGAATTTACGTGACTAAAAGTATTTTTTAGGTATTATGAAGAACATATTCCAATTCACCATGCACAGTTTTTAAAGCTGAAATAAAACAGACTTTATGTACAAAAGCTTTATTCATATTGGATTGACAGGAATGAATAAACAAGCCTGCTGTTTGATGAGCATGTGAAATAGTTTGTCATCAGGTAATTCCAGTTTGACCAGCATCTGACATCTGTGTTGCCTTTGAATGATACTTTGTTCTAAATACAAGTGGATATTACGTGGGTTTTAATTTCACAAGTATTTGTCGACTATCTACTCAGGAGTATGAGTGATACCCAGTCTCCACAGCATTTGTACCCTGTGGTTTAATCTATGGTATGATGGATTTGTGTTTCAGTTTATTTGCTTTTCATTATACAGGCAGAAAGTATTTCTGCTGCTGCTCTCCTAGAAACCAGAAAAAGAACTCTGTATTATCCATGAACTATACTTAAAAAAATAGATAGAATGGAGAGCAGGCTGTTTCTCTTATTTCTTTCAAGAGAAGAAATAATGATTTGTGTACACCTTATAAATCTAGTCTTCATTTAAAAATAAGCTTAAAAAGGTACTAGGCAGTGTGTAGGCTCACAAGGAATTCTGCTAGAGGTATAGAGAAATTCTGATTTCAATAAAATCCATGCATGTTGTTGCATGTACTACTTAAGGCTTTGTAAGTATTGGGAATTACAGTTCTGTCTTAAATGCAACTCAGTTTGTCCACTGCTCCATTCAGCCCCATTTCAAGTCAAGCAGCTACATCTAGATGTGGTTTCAGGGAGCTTTCAGTTTCTGAAATGTAATTTTTCTTCCCAGAGAACTACCTTATTTTGTAAAACTGACAAGTGAAAGGCATGCGACACTACCTTGTGGTACTACAAGTAAGCTTATCTATTATGATGAAGATTGGCTGGATATATGCTCGGTTCATTGGGTAACACTTCTGTAAAGTAGATTTTGGTTAACACTTTGGTTTTAATTCTTCTTCAAATACAGGAACATAGGAATCTGCCTTTCATGCGTGAATTGAGGTACCTGTTTGCACTTCTAGTTGGTTCGAAGAGAAAATATGTTGACCCATCAAGAGCAGTTGAAATCCTTAAAGATGCTTTTAAATCAAATGATTCCCAACAGGTAATTTCTCTGTGTTTTCATTCAAGCTTATGCATGTTTTCATATGAGAATCTGGCAATAGGAAATACTTAAAATGGACAACAAAAATTCAAAATGCCCACAGAAAAGAAAATTGGTTATCACAGTCTTTGAGCTTTTTCTGCTAATATTACATGATCTCTAGTCACTTTTATTAAAAAAAAAATAAAAAAAACAACAAACAAAAATACCAAAACAACAAAAAAATTCCAGACAGTGTGACTATTTTATTCAGTATGCTTTCTTCCCATTATTTTAGAATCTTACTAATAATTTCACATTCTTGTTTTTAGTGTTTATTGTAGCTTCTAAGTCTGTGGTTTTTGAAAGAGCTTTATTCTTCTGATCTCACAATACATCCAGGGCTAGTACAGTCCTAGTCCAATATTTGGCTGTGTAGATATTGGTTTGGAGCATCCCAATACTCATATTCAGGATTCTTGCCTAAATCACAGTGGGTATGTTTTGTTTTTCTGAGAAACACTTTGTTTCTTCAGATGTTTTATTTTTCCCACATGTGGCTAAGGTGTTTAATTACAACAGCATACTGAATTTAATACTCGATGAAAGTAATATTAGTCACCACATTTTAGATACCAAAGGGTTCGAACAATGGGATTCATAAGATGCCTTTGGACTGGCATGGTATGAAAGCTGAACCCAAGTAATAAGGATCACAGGACACTGTAATGACTGAGGAATACCAGAGCCTTAGTGTGCTCTAAAAGCTATCCATGAAAAACCAATAATGGAATAGCCTTAGACATAGTGTGATTTTTGTGGAGGGGAATACTACTATACTGATCTTGTAAAGTGACATTTCATTGTGTTCTGTTACTTATGTGAACATATACTGATAATTTTATATTTTTCAACAGCAAGATGTTAGTGAATTTACACACAAATTATTAGATTGGTTAGAAGATGCCTTCCAAATTAAAGCTGAAGAAGAGAGGTAAGGTTTTTTTTCTAGCTTTGTATATTGAACATTTTGATGAGAAAAAGCAAACTAAACAACCAAAAATCAATTCCTCACTGTATGGCTGAAAAAGATGTAACTCTGTAGCTTGTTTTAGTTCAACTGTCGTTTTTTCCACATGTGCTGATACCTTTGATTTTCCATGAATTGTCTTTTTTTCACCTTGTTATTTTGTGTCAGAAATCTTGCTGAACGAAGTCCAGAGTATATGAAGAGATGTGTGTTGCACATAATCATTTAGGCTTTTTTTTTTTTTTTTTTCATTTGAATGCAGTTTTACTTTTAAATCCGATATTTTAAATGCTTTAAAATTTTGCTCCTGTTTCTCAGGAGCAAATTCTCAACCATACAGATAAGTGAACATCTGTAAACTGTCTTTTGAATGTGTAGTTGTTTCTAGAGTGTTGCAGGAAATAGTTTTTACAAAGGTTTTGTACAATTTAACTACTCATGAATTGAATCCAATTTACATAAATTTTCCTGGAATGAAGCACTTCTGAAACTTAGGTTTCAGAATATACTCATCATTGCAAATACATGAATCATTGTTATTGTCATTAGAGGAAAGTAAAAAAACTAAATGAACAGTAACTGAGTAAAATAGGCAGCATTTCCATGATGAATTCAGAATATTCTGCTCATAGTTCCATAAAAGTTCATGGCTTTGTGTTTGATTTCTGCACTAACATGCTTTCTGTTTTCAGGGATGGAGAGAAACCAAAGAACCCAATGGTGGAGTTGTTTTATGGACGATTTCTAGCAGTAGGTGTGCTTGAAGGTATGCATCTGAATTGACTTGGACTTCTGTGCTCGTGTCTGTTCAGTGCTTGTCTGAGTAGGCGGGTGAATGATGCAGGTGTAGCATTTTAGCTATTTCTACAGAAGTATACTTGGAGCGTACGCATTCGGTCTGTGACAATAGGTTTGTTCTGAGAATGAGACTGAAGGTAAATGGAGTGAGCCGCAGTGGTCCAGAAAGACTGTTTTGATAACTTTCAGGAGCTAAGTGTATGTACCGAAGTGCAGTAGAAATTAGATTGAGATGCTGAGCAAAAATGCCTGCAAGAAATTATCATCATGGCAATTTTGCCACTTACAGAAGGCAAGTTACTGTGTTTCATTGAGTTAGTCTCTAGCACTCTCTCTGCTTCATTTAATGCAATTTTAAATTTCAATTGTTGCATTTTCTTCTGTACAATTTCTGGTATGGATAACACGCCCTCTTAAAAGTACAGTTCATTGAAAACAAGTCAGTGGAAACCTGCTCAAGGGCAGTGTCGGAGAGAGTACTGTGGAGCAAGAGACTGTCCAACAAGCTTACCTTTATCTTAGCTGCATATAGTTAGCAGATCTGCAGAATTGCGGTGTTCTCTGTTTCCAGGAGGCCAGCAGTTGTGAAAGTATCTTTAACACTGGTGATTCTGTCCCCTCTCCTGAGAGGGAATGACTCCTGAGATCTATTTGAATGAAGCAGCTGTAATCTTTGAAGTGGCTTTCAGGTTGTTCCTCGGCCTGTAACAGTGTATCTATGATTTGTTGTCAGATTTCAAAACCATTCTGCAGATTTCTTGCTACTAGCTAGCATTCTTGCTCCTTTGCATTTGGCTTCTTCCATCTCTTACATTCTCCCCTTAACTGAAGGGTTATGTAAAAACCAAACCAACAAAAAGAAACTGGCAGATGTAAGAAGACTTGATACTGACTTTAGGATTAAATAAATTGAAATTGTAGATTGAAATCACTTGTCACCCATATTTCTCCTCTTGTTTGAGCTTATGTCTTTATACACTGGTACCAAATTATGATCTTGTTTTCAGGACAGAAGTAATGAATGTTCTCTTTTGTGGTGTATTTTTGCAAAATGTACTTACACAAAGGGCTGTTTCATACCAGCAATTCCATACAATGTAGGGTTGTATTACTGAGCTGCTGTTTGCAGGAGAAGAACTTTGATTTATATGTGTAAAACTTACCATACATTTGTGGTGCCAAATAATTTTGGGTTTTGCTTATTTTTCACATCAATAGATGTGAAAAACAATGTAAAATATGGGCTGAAGAAGAAAATACAGTGATTTTTCAATATTAAATTCAAATGAGTAACTTATTTTCATACATACAATTGAATTGTTCAATGAGAAAATGTGGGTATTGTTCGGTAGTCTAGGTCATGTGACATAGGATTGTTAGGTTTTTTTAAAGGTAAATGTTTGTTCTTAAAACCTTAACTGTTTAATTTCTTATGTGAAGGTAAAAAATTTGAAAACACAGAAATGTTTGGCCAGTATCCACTCCAGGTTAATGGCTTTAAAGATCTGCATGAGTGCCTAGAAGCTGCAATGATTGAAGGGGAAATAGAATCTCTCCATTCAGAAAACTCTGCCAAGTCTGGTCAGGAGGTGAGTTAAGTTCTCCCATGTGCTTCTCTAAGGGTGGTGCTGTAGTGCTCTGTGTTTTTCATTGGGGTTCTTGGTTGTTGTTTTACGTGACCTGCTGCTGTGCAGGTTCTGATGTCTGGCATGATTTGATTGTTAGTTTGGGGGGTTTGTGTCTCTTTAGGAGTATCCAGAGTAGATTTTTTTTTTTTTTTTGTATTTTCCATAAGATACAAAGTTCATGTTTATTAAAAGCTGGCACAGTTAAGTGCTTACAGTGATCTGGCACAGGCTGGTTCCCACCTGTTGTTGATATTTGATCTCCAGAGAGTTCATGGGTGTAATGTCCTGCGGTAGCTGACCACTGCTCTGACGGACTTGCTGCTCTGTGCCATGCTGTACAGAGTAACTGCAAGCTGTGCATTTGACTATTGCTTCAGAGCACTGTTGTTATTTCCCTGTGCCTCTGTCTTGTAATTCCTCAGCACCCTGGCCTTCTTCCCTTCTCCCCTTTTTACTGATGTTTCCCAGCATCCTCCTCTTCCCCCCAGTGGTGAATAATTCTGCTCTGCTCATGGTGGTGGACAGACAGTACTTGGTCTATGGGCTGCTGTTCCTCCCAGGACAGCTCTTGCTAGAGCAGGAGGCTGCCAAACATCAGAGCATGCTGGAAGCACGGGTGGAGGCATTCAAATGGAGCCCCACTAAGAAGTGGTGTATGTAGTGTACGGTGCTGGGATGAGGTGACAATTGAGATTTCTTGTGCAGAAGTCACAGGTTAGGGAAAAGAGGTAGTTGGACTGATGGGGGTTGTAGAACAAAGAGGGTTTGCTCTGAAGTGTCCCCTGTTATTGCTGGCATGCATGTATATGCCCATCATTTTTCTCTGCAGAGCAATCTCTAATAACCTGTGGGTACCTTCTTGTACTTAAGTAAAAAGTTCAGGTGTAGTTTCTTCCTTTATGTCAATTTTTTGCAGTAAAGAAGTTTTGCTTCCTGTAATCATATCAACATACATGTAGGGTTTAATTACTAAGCCCAGTGACGCACGCTGAAATCGTCCTCCAGTCTGAAGTTCTATTTCCAATTTTGTATTACCAGCAAAAGTTTTATAGCATCCCTTTTGCAGTCCCTTTTTCTGGCCAGCTGTTGTTGATCAAATACTGATCAACCAAATCAGATGTTAAGATGTATTTACACGTCTTACTGGATGTGTTCTTCTTTCACAGAATGTTTTCGGTTTTTTTATTCCAGCACTTGTAGAAATGTCTTCTTAATGTCTTCTTACATTGAACATGTGTCCTGAAATATAACTGGAAGAAAAAAAATCTCATAAATAACTTGGTACAATCCAAAGAGCAATTTATTTAGGCAAGGTGTAATCTTCTATACACCTACTACAGGAGCACAATTGTTCATCTTACAGACCGAAAGTTGTCTTGCAGTTAAAACCTGTGTGCATTCATAAATAAAATGTCAGTTCAGTTATAAGTGCTTGACTACAAATGTCAGACTCTTTTTTTTTTTTTTAACCTGTGATATCAGGAAACTATGGGGAACATAAGGATAGTCATATACAGGTCTAGAATGTTTTGCTTTGAGTTCTGTGAAACTGTCAGGGTTTTAATCAGCTTTGCTTCTTTGTGTATGGAAATGGAAATGAAGTAGTCATATAACAGATTGACAACAGCAGCAAAACAAGTCCTAATCTAGAAAAAAATTACTGCATTATTACCAGGGCCAAGTGAATTGGTTACATTTTCCTGAACTGAAGCAATTTATTTATAGTGGTTGCTGCTGTTGGTAGTTATGTTTAAAGATAATGCCTCAAAGATGTTAAAGTGCATTGGAAGGTTTGGAAGGACAGAAGGAAGCTGAATTCCTTGTAATTTTAACGCAGCCTGTCTCCTCTGAACAAACTTAAAGCACCATTCATTCGAGCTGGTAGATATCAAAGCTTAAAGGGCATAATTAATTTGGTAGTTGTGTGTGTTGAAAGATCCTGACAGTAACATTCTATTTTTTTTGTTTTCCCTTTGTTCCCACCATTGCCTCTAATGGGGTATTTCGCTTGTTGTTCATTATTATTACTATTACTATTATTATAATGATGCCTAAAAACCTCAGCCATGAAGTAGGGTGTCAGCAAGCGAGCTAACTTATGAACAGAAAACAGAGACATTCCCTGTCCCAAGGAACTTAAATCCCAATTCAAGAGAAGATGGAAGTCAATGCATATATTTGGAGTTAAAAGTGTGGGGAAAATGAGATAATGTTTGTCAGCATCATGGTTGATGAGCTTCAGCACATCAGCAGCAGTAAAAGGGTTTAGGGGGAAAGGTTGTGGTGTGGTTTTGCTGACTTGAGCATTGAAATTTACTGCTGTGTGAAATTGCTGCAACAGAGGAGTCATTACTGTGTCCTTTAAAACTGAAAAAGGTACTTAGTGGAGGCTGATATAGGCAAGAAAAGGGAAAGCAACTCACTTTGCATGTAAACAGATGAGAGGAGTGATACTGAAGGCAATGAACTAGGAAAACTCAGCAACATCCTGAAAATCTGCTAGTGTGACAAGGCTACATGCGCTAAGGCTGGGCAAGGGGGAGAAGAGAGGAAACAGTGCACTGAGATGTGGAATGATGAGAACCTAGACCTGAATTTTAGCCATGAGCACAGGAGGAAAAGACTGTCTTGGAGGTATTGTATGAAAAGACTATTCAAGACATTTGGCTGGGTGGGAGAACTTGAAGTCAGCCCCGAGTCAAATGCCGTGTCTGGGTTGTGGGCATTGATAGCAGAAACATGTGGCAGTGCAGCAATCAGTGAAGATTGAGTTAATGGTTAGATCTCCAAAATGTGGTTAAACGGCTAGACTGTGGGATTTAGGTTGTAGAATGGGGAGGAAAAAGGAACTCTAATGCTGCAATTGGAGCTGAATTTGTCTTTTGGTTGAGAAATTAAGTATGTAATGAAGGAAATGAGGACTAAGAATAGACCTCGACTGAATACTCAAAAGAAAACTTGGATAACGTGATGATAGCATGGGTTGGTCCATGGATGATGGTTGTTTCATCCACAGCTAAGGCCACGTGGGCCTGCACTCACTCCCCTCGCCACCCAGTGAGATGGGAAGGGAAACACAACAAAGGGGTCATGGGCTGAAAACGAGGACAAGGACGGCTCACTCACCAAAGGTCATGGGCAAAACAGACTCAATCCGGGGAAGAAAAATCAATTTGATTACCAGTCAATTAGAAAAGGATAGTGAGACATAACAAGCACATCTTACAACACCTTCCCCCACCCCTCCCTTATTCCCAGACTCAAATCACTTTGCTCCCGATTTCTCTACCTTCTCCCCCCTACAGGCACAGGGGCAGGGAATGGGGGTTCAGTCAGTTCACTTCTGCCACTCTTCCTGGCATGAGATCCCTCCCACGGGCTGCAAGAGCCCAGGAACAAAGTGTTCCAGTGCGGGCTTCCCATGGAGACATGGACCTCTTCAGGCATAGCTCCTGGTTTCAGCAGTCCATGGGCTGCAGACAGGCCTCTGGTCCAGCGCACCTCCTCCCCCAAGCACTGGTGTTGAGCATCTCTGGGGTCTCTATACTCAAGTCACAACTGCTCTCAGGTACAGCTTTCTGCGCCAGTGTGGAGTCCTCCATGGTCTATGTGTGGGTATCTGCTCTGCCGTTGAATCTCCATGGGCTGCAGGGGACCTCATTTACCTTTCTTCTCCTCTTCTTGCGTATTGGTCTCGGTGTCTGAGATTTTCTGCCTTCTCCCTCCTCCTCCTTCCTCATGGCAAGATGCTCTTTTTGTTTAGGTCCATAGTCTTCTTTTGTTTAGGTCAATGGTCTCTCCTCTTGGTTCTATCCTTCTTCTTTTCAAAACAGTTCTTCCCCTCATAAATATTGATTCAAAGAGGCATTTCCCTATTGCTAGTGCCTGGGCTGGAGACAGGCCTGCCTTGGAGCCAAGGGAGCTTTGTGAAGCTTCTCACTGGGCCCATCACTGTAGCCCCTTCCCCCACTACCAAAAATGGTTGGCCCCCCTCCCCAAAGCCAACACAGATGGATTAGCAGTGATTAGAGATATGAGGTCATTAGAAACTTTTGAGTGATACCAGGTGAATGAGGGGGTCAGAAACTGAGGGAGGAAGCAGGAAGAGCACATGGTACAGTGTAAAGAACCCTTTCAGTGGCATTGGAGAGTTGAAAGAGAACAGGACAGTTGTCAAGGCAGGTAGGTTCATGCATAGGCTGCTTTCAGTAGAAGCAAGACAAATGTGGAAGGAGGAAGCGTTCATGCCTGCTCTGCTTTAACACATACAGTGATCGATGAGTTGAAAAGCTCTGATGCAGCATGGGTGATTACTGGTCTCTGTTTGCAGTGAAGGGGAAAGTTGGAAACTTTGGAAAGCTTATGCCGATCCACCTTCTGAAAGCAGTTTCTCCCATAGCTATGTCAGTCTGCAGGTATTGTTACTACTAAAATTCTGCTATTGGAAGGCATTCATTGTGGGGTTTTCTGTTTTTCTTTTGTTCAGCACTGGTTCACTGAGCTTCCTCCTGTCTTAACTTTTGAGCTATCAAGATTTGAGTTTAATCAGGCTTTGGGGAGACCGGAGAAGATACACAACAAATTAGAATTTCCTCCAATTTTGTATCTGGACAGGTACAGTATAATATTACCAAAGTAATACGATTTAATTTATATTCATGCTAGGACTTTGTTGATAAAGTTGCTGGTGCATCTTATACTCGCTTAAATCACAGTAAATTTCTGGTCTAGCTAGACAAATTAAAATTTTCATGGGTTTCATCCATTTCAAAAATACAGATGGATAACAATTTAAGACACACTGCTACTTTGTGCCAAAGCCTCCTTGCACTTCAGTCTTTAATTTATAGCTAAGCAGTTGTGTACACAGGCAAAATACTCTGAAAAATCACACTGTTTATTGGTCCATTTGGGAAAGAGGACGAGAAGTCAAATATTTCATGGTGTTCCAGATCCACTGCATGGTTGGAAGAGGATTCTCAGCATCAGTGCATGCTGTTTATCTGCAGAAGTGAAATACCATGATGACTTTCAGTTAGATGCTGAATGTTATTTGAGAGCCTAAATAATTAAACAAAAGTATTTGTATATGGTTGCTACTTAAACTACTTAATTTAGAAGCTTTCTAATACATTTGTCATGGTATGAACAGAGCTTTGACACTGGAGAAAAAACTTGTTTTGAAAGTTGTGGGAGGAAGGCTTAATAGGTTTACCATGTTCTTCTCAGTTCTGTTTTACTGATCGATATGTTGTAGGTTCTAGAGACTGTGGGTTTTTATTAGCACTAAGTGGTATGGCTGATGAGTTTCAGTGTTGGGATACTGTGGACATCTCTTTCTAAATTTCTTGTTTTACAGGTATATGCACAAAAACAGAGAAATAACAAGAATTAAACGGGATGAAATCAAGAGACTCAAAGAGTACCTCACAGTTTTACAGCAGAGATTAGAACGGTACTATAGATAACTGTGTAAATGCAAGTAATATTGTGGGCTACACAGAAAAACTCCCTTAAACTGCACACTTTGTGTGTCATTATTTGCTCTAGATTTCCCTTATTTACCTCTTTTCTTTTACTGTTTTCCTTGGGAACTGTGTATAAGTGCAGTAATTCTGATGCATGAAGCGTGCTAGGAGAGGCTTGCTTTACTTAATTGCAGTCAACCAGAAAAAAAAAAATCTTTTTTTTTCTTTAGCTTTTAATTTTTTTATTGTATATGTGAGTCATGGCATTAATACATTTTATGGTTAACAGATATTTAAGCTATGGTTCTGGTCCTAAACGATTCCCCTTGGTAGATGTCCTGCAGTATGCCTTGGAGTTTGCCTCCAGCAAGCCGGTGTGCACGTCTCCTGTCGATGACCTGGGTGCTAGTGCGCCTGCCAGTGGCACGCTGCCAGCCCAGACCATGCCCAGGTAAGGGCTGCTTCCTGCTTTCCCAAGGTGAGAGGCCAGTCATCCCCTCGGTGTAAACCTGGCAGCAGAGAGAGAGGGGAGGGAGTTTAACTGCTTTGTTCACCAGATTAAGACAACTAGGCATCTCCTAAGGGGTACAGTGTAAAGTTTCTTCTCTCTTCCTGGAAGTATTCTTCAGCACAGCAGGCTTAAATAAACCAAAATGTTAAGAATCTGGGTTTGTCTCATGCACTTCTAAAGATGTCTTTAGGTGGACAAAGCATATTTCTACCTACAATTCCAAAAAGACGAAATGTCTGATGAGGTCACTGCTTCCCAAGTGTGTTGTTTAAGAATCTGAATTTGGACAGCATGTATGTACTGCAGAGCTTCAAGGTTTCTGGTGTACAATTTATCTGTTGATTTTTTTTTTATTTTCTTTTTTTGTCTGAGGGTAAAACTCCTTTTCTGCTTTGCAGTTTACACTTCTCACAGAGTTTGTCAGGAACCTACCAGTCTGACTTTTTAATAAGGAGTAGCCAAAGTATCAGGGATATAAAGGTCCAATAATGTTGTTTTACTCATTATTGAAACTAGGAACTATTAGTAACAATTAATAGAGTATAACTTAGGACAGGACTTGGCTAGGTGGACACGAACAGTTTATAACAGAGGTAGCAAGATAGTTAACTTAGTAGTTCAGAGAAGTACAGTAAATTAATCTAAAAAGCTTTTAAAAGATTTCAGGTGTCTTACAGATATACCAGTAGAAATCCTGATGACTGATAAAAGAAGACAAACTTTTAAAAGCTACCATTTCTTGCATGAAATACAATATCAAAAGTAATATACTTTGTTCAAACTCCTGTATAGGAAATTTATTCTGTAAAAGTGTAAATATGATGTAATTTTTTGTGAATCTGTAGAAACACAACGTGTTATGTGGAGAGACATTGTCAGCTCTTAATGTTCTCAGTACTTTCTAAACTTCTGAAGAATCCAGGCTCTTCAGGCTGTATCATGATGCTGTACATTAAGTAAACAGTCAGTGGCTTGCTAGAGAGATCTTCAGATTCCTGTTATGCATATGATTGCATATAGGTGGTCTTGTGGATGGGAAGAGAAAAGTCTGTAACACGTTTTCATTTTAATATTCTGCTGCTCTTGTAGAATTCTCCTAAGCTGTCCACTTTGCTGTTTGTGTTAGAAGGTGTTTGGAACAAGTTTAGATGGTTTGGTGTGAAATTTCCAGTGTGCTGTAAATATCAGAGATCCCTTCATTGTTGCGGTTCATTTAACATAAGTTGTAGGTAGGCAATCAGAAAAAAAAGTCTGCTAGGCATAAGGTATGCAAAGAAGTTACAAAACAGAGGACTTGTGTTTATTGGATTTTATGGTCAGTGGGCCATAAGACAAGCTGCTGTGATTTTTTTCTCTTTGCAGTTTTGCAGTAAATGCTTCAAACCACAGTGATTACTTGTATGATGTTATTTGGAAGTGTTGAATAGCATTTCAAGTAAAGGAAACTGGCTTGACCGATCCAGTTCCAATTCCTTTATCTTTGGTAATGGCAGCCAGAGTTTTTATTGTGCTAACATGTAGTAACTGCAGAGTTTTCAGAATTTACGTATTAATTCCATATTGATATTGTAGGTACTTTTCCTGGATTGCACTGTAGGAAATTATTACCTTTAAAAGTTCTGTTTTCAGATTAAAAGCTTATTTTGATGGTTTAGCTTTTAGTTTGTATATAAGATGATTCAAGTTTTGTATTTCATGTTTTGAATGAATGCAGCACAATAGAGCAGCAGGGGCCTTCATCTTCAGATGTTCCAAGCACATCTCCTGTACAAAGATCAGTAATACATAAACCATTTACACAATCACGAATTCCTCCTGATCTGCCAATGCATCCGGCACCAAGGCACATAACTGAGGAAGAACTGTCTGTCCTAGAGGGGTGTTTACATCGCTGGAGGACTGAAGTGGAGAACGACACTAGAGGTAACACCACAAGCTGGAAGTGGGGGAAATCACCTTGATGTCCACATGTGCGTTGAGTTGCTTGTTCCACATGTCTAAACTTCTCCCTCATGTACGAGGGGAAGTCAGCTGGAGATTGGAGTAGACTGGAGGTTTATAAACCGAAGGTGCAAACTGGGCATTGAGTGAAGCGTACAGAGGTGTTTCAACGCAGGTTTCTGTGTGCGTGGTGTTGGGGGCAGTTGAGTTGAAACAGAGACGGGATCCAGGCCAAGGAACGTCTCTGCAGACGTGTCCAAGCTGTCAGTGTGATAGTGGCTGGGCCCATGCTGTGACTTGGTGCTCTGCAGGGGAGTTTAGGGTAGAGTGACCCCTTCCATAGGGGTTTAGGGTAGAGTGACCCCTTCCATAGGGGTTTAGGGTAGAGTGACCTCTTCCATAAAGGAAAATTCAGCAAATTTCTGAGCAAAAGCTTTTTGGAGTGGGTAGAGCTTGCATTCTGTTCTGTAGCTCTGAGGGGGGAAAAAGGGAGGAAGTTGTTGCAGTAAGGGTGGGCTTGGTTGAGCTCTAGGAAACATGCAGCGACGTATGATGAATCACTTCTCTCTGTCCTTTGAGAAGGTGTAGTGTTTGGCATGTAGTTAGATAAACAGATGCACCAAATGTGAAATGTACCCTTGTTTGGTTTTTAATGAGATAAAATAAAGATGTAGCCATGTGCAATTATACAGCCTCATGGAAGAGAGCTTGTTTTTTATTTTTATTTTAGATTTACAAGAAAGTATATCTAGAATACATCGGACAATTGAATTGATGTACTCTGACAAAACAATGATCCAAGTAAGTACAATTTCTGCATGAGATAATTCAAAATAGATCCTTTTTGTCTCTTCCTCATAGAGCAAGTATACAACAATTATATTTAATGGTTTGAGAAATGTCATTGGAAAGTCATAATGATTTTTGCAAACCTTTTAATTATTGGCAGTCTGATGAAAGGCAATGTTACAGTATTTTTCAGGTGACATACTTAAGTTTAAACAACCTTGTGATGAAAAGCCCAAATATGTTCTATCTCTGACCCACTTTTTTGACTTGAATGCAGAACTTCAAAAACTTACACAGGTTTTTGTGTAACGCAATCAAATTTTCTCATCTCAATTTGACCATATTGCTAGGTAATCTTACGACTTACTTTAAGGTGACAAAGCATTAGACACAAGAAGCTATTATTTTTATGCTTTTTTTTTTTTTTTTGTGTATTGAACTTCCATACTAATACTTGGGAATTCAACTCTCCTGATTTTTAATTTGTAGTTAATAATGGCAGTGGGGTTTCTTTGTTGTTTTGGTTTTTGTTGGTTTTTTTGAGACTCGGTCTAGCTTTAGTATCAGTCACAACCTTGACTATTAGTCTAAGCTGCCTTTTAGGGAGATTCTCGTGCTGTGTAATCTGTACAGCATTTTTGGAATGCTTTACTACACAGTCATGGCTCCTCTGGTATTTCTTATATTCACATACTCATGTTCGCTCATTTTGACAGTTTTAAGGTTAAGGATTACTTCCTCTGTTACTTTCTGTTAGCAAAAAGAACTATTTTCCTTCCAAGGAAGATGTGTTCAGCTTACAGTTTCCCTTGAGGTACATTTTCATTTTGTACATGGCTTGTAATAGTTCCTGGCAGCTGGGCTCTGATGTTAAGGATTTCAGGCAGGCTTGCCTAGATGGCTTTCTCTAAGCTTGCTACTGACAGGCATTTTTTTTTTTCCTTAATACTTGTAGCTTATCTGTTACAAAATGTGTCATCTAACAATAAAATGAAGTCATTTGGTGATCTCGCGTCCAAATAGTCTACCGGTGTTGGCTTAGGTGTTATAGGAGGAAATACCTCTGGATGACGAAGATGTTAGTCAGCAATCATTACAGTGGAAAAAGGAAACTACTTAGTAAAACACTTTGTCCTAGTGCAGATTTGTATAATGTAGACTAGATTTTTTGTTTGTGTTTGTTTTGAGACAGCATTCCAGTAACAGAGCAGGAGGAAGATGGTATAGAGATTTGTGGAGGGGGTTCCTGTGCCATGCTTGAAAGTAGCGGGGTGTATTAAGTGATTGTTAGGAAACAAGTAGGTACTGAACCCATGTGAAATCACAGGCTGGAAGCAAAGGCTGCTCTTCTGCAACTCAGCTGGTTTTGTCCCTGTGGGTGTGTTGGCACAAGAGGAAGGAAGCAGGTGCACGTGGCTGTCTACTTTCCCCTGCCTGTCTCTGCATCTGGGCAATTGGATAGCTTAGTATTGCCCCATTCTCTGGGAGCAGTTTCACAGTATTGATGTTTTCCTCTGAATGATACAATCGCAGGACTGACAGTTGGACTTGATGATCTCTTCCTTATGTCCCCTTTGATTCTAAGGAAACTACAGTTGTCCATAAAACCCTTGTCAAATTGTCATATGAAATATATTAATGAAATTCTTATTTCATCTCATCATTCTGAATTAATAGATTTCATCAACTGCTTATTTGATTATTTCCCTCCTTCTGTGGAGATTCATCTCTGATATACAAGCTTTGATATATCTTTTCTGTAGCTACCTGTGACAAGGTTGGTGGAGCTCCACTTCCATTTCATGAGTAGTAAGTGTAAGCTCAGAAGTTTAATGCCAACTATTTACTTGTTGCCCTGTAATTTTAATTACTGTTGATATAATGTCTTATCACAAGAGATGCCTGTTGGCACTGAACTTGCCTGTCCCTCAGTCACAGACCTCTCTGGGGGAACTGTCCTGGAAGCTCAGCGTGAATGAATGACAGCTGGTTCTCCAGAGCTGGAGGAAAGGGTAGGGACCTTCAAGCTGACCCAGTTAGCAAGGTTTTAAGTAAAATGATTTAAATTCACCTGGGATTTTAATGCCCTATTTTAGGATGAGGAAATTTAAAGTCTAAAGAGATTTCACTTACCTTTATTTTTAATCAGAATCTGCATATATTTATGTACATATGAATGGACTTGCAATCATTTTAAGATGGCTTTCACAGTGGTTTGATAACAGATGCTAAAAAAACCCAGAGCATTCAGATTTTAGGACTTGCTAGGATTTCTTCTGTGTATACTTCTTGTGTTTGAGAGAGATTTACAGTGTGGTTTGGTCTCTGGGATGACAGACTGTTTGATTCCAGCTGCTGTGCAGTCAGTCAACTTTACAGTTCAAGGGTGGGTTGCAAAATCTCTCAGCACTTGCATACAGCCTGGAAGAGGATGATCAGGTTAAAAATAACTTCAAGGGATTTCTCAAGTTATAGTTACATATGTATTTATGGTTACTGATTATTGTGGTGTTCAAATGATATTTGCAACAGATATCTAGTACACCTTGTGTTAAATAGACCATTTTTCTACTGTTCAGACTGTGAGACAGTAAAGGTGGTGTCAGGTTGTTCCTCATCCTTGCTGAGCTGTTGTTGTTCAGGCATACTGTGCATAGCAGGGAAGATCAGTTTTCCCTTTTATGTTGCATGTGCTGTTTCAGCAGGTTAAAATGAACTGATTGCTAAGATGCTTTTACATGACTTGTAAGGAAACAGTCATTCATTCTGCTTCTCTCTTATGTCTCTCTCCCTCCTTCAGATTTCCAGGTCCTTACATAGAAACTGAGTTTCCCATTCTTCTTACTTGTTGATGAATGCATGAAACCTGGGTTACTTTTTACATTGATCCTAGAAACTAAAATCTTTCTTCTCTGCCTCAGGAGGTGGAGAGGACCTCATCATGTGTTCCATGGTTCTCTTAGCAATGCTTTTACTGATACGTTTAAAATACTGGAAAACAGTTGTATTCCTATTCTACTGTAAGAATTTTACCTTTGGGTAATGCAAGTATTCAACTCCCAAATATTCCTTTAAATGAACTCTCTTACTGGCCCAGAGTTTACTATTTTGAATTTCAATATGCCTTTCCAGACATCAGGACATGTTTACCAGGTCAGAAATGGAGCAAATAATAAACACTTAAGACTGATATATTTGATGGTTTTTTGTAGTTACAAGGAAAGTAGGAATATGAAGGAATTAAGAAAAGAGGATGCCTGGCAGTAAAGACAGAGTAGGCAATTATGCTGTAGACTCACTAATGTTTTTAAGGTCTCTTGTAACTATTCTGTTCTGTTTTTCCTGTGTGTCATGTTTTGATCCTGTTTAACTTTATTTTTGTTACTTTTATTTAATGTAGCTATTACTGCTGACAGGTGGTAGGAATTAAATGCTGGTGAGGAGAGATTGACATTTTGGGGTTTTTTTCTTTTGTTTTCTTTAAGGTTCCTTATAGGTTGCATGCTGTGCTAGTTCATGAAGGTCAAGCTAACGCAGGACACTACTGGGCATATATTTATGACCACCACCAGAACAGATGGATGAAATACAATGATATTTCTGTGACAAAGTCAACTTGGGAAGAGTTGGAGCGGGATTCTTTTGGTGGTTACAGAATGCCAGTGCATATTGTTTAATGTATATCAATGATAAGGAACAATATTTGATACAAGGTAATGTTATGGATATGTTTTCTGCATGATATAGAATAGCTGAATATATTGATAAAGTGAGCTTCTTTCAGATGGATTTCTAGATTTTTTGAAATGTTTTAAGTAATCATTTAAAGTCCTAGTTATGCTCAAAACTGTTAGTCATATTGTTTTTTTGAGTAGAACAATTGCTCTTCAACTTTTAACTTAATAAAGAATGCCACTGTTTAAGCATTATTAATAGAGCAAAATAAACTAAGTTTGCTAATTTGTAAACATTCTAGCTAGGTGATCACATTTTCAGAATTTTGGAGATGATGTCTCACTGAAGATTAGAAGAGAAATATGGAAATACAGAAATGACCCTCTTGACATTAAAATCCTTGTGGGTTTTTTTTTTTTATAAGCTTCAGAACTCTGATGAACTTTTATGGAGTGTGGAAACTTGAAGCTTTATGCAGTATATTGAAGTGTGAATAAGTTAGCCCTACCAACCACACATCAAACCAAAGAAATACATGGACTGGGAATTTTTTTCAGGTCATATACTAGTATGTAGTGCTTGTACGGAAGTATTTGGAGAGAGGGCAAAGATCCCTTAACATGCGTTTTGTGGGGACTGGTAATGGTGGCTGGGAAGCTGACTGTGAGAACGGCCAGATTCAATAATGGTGGATAATTTTAATGTTCCTGTCTTTTCATAGGGCAGAAAACTAGAGTGAGCATATGTTCAGTATTTTAAATGAGAACTATTATTAACCTTGACATTTCTAGATTACCAGATTAGAAGTGGACTTGCAGCCACAAGGTTTATGAGCCCTGTAGGGTGGCTGTGCCGTTAAGTCTGTGGCCCATTGCTGGAGGACAATTACAGCTGATTGATACTCTTGCAGAGACCGTTCTTGAACCAAAAAGGAAGGTTACTCTATGCAGCTGGTGTTCTTATCAGTTGGCTTTCCAAATCCCTGTAGGCCCACTCTCCTCCTCCTTTTCTGCTGCAAAGTTGAGTTGTGTCCAGCTCTGTGTGACAGTAATGCAATCAAGCTATGGTGGTTTTTTGTGCCTTTTTTGCTGAACGTTCACAATTATAGGGTGCTTATGGCCCAAAAGGCTCATCTTTCAAAATGGCAATGCTCTGATGGTGCCCCAGAACATATAATCCAGAGATCGCAAGAACAGTAGCCATATGTCTCAGTAGCAGAGGAGTGCCCGACAGATAATAAAACTAGTTAAAAGTAATATAGTTCTGGGGTTTTGGTGCTGTACTGCATGTTTCCAGTAATTCACTTGAGGAAGTTTGTTGTATGTACTTTCTTTTCTCCTATTCTTTCTTCTACTGAAATTTATCTTTCATGTTCCCACAGAGGAATTTAACAAAGAAACGGGACAGATCCTTGTTGGAATGGACACGCTACCTTCTGATCTTAGGGATTATGTCAAGGAAGACAATAAACGTTTTGAAAAAGAACTCGAAGAATGGGATGCCGAGCTTGCTCAGAAAGCACAGCAGGAGAAGTTGTTATCTCAGATACCCAGGGCACCAGCACCCTCACCTGCTCCAGGTTAGTTTTTTGTACCTGTTTGTAAAAGGATCAGAACCAAAAATCAGCGGGTTTTGTATATAGTGTTTTGCAACTTAAGAAAGGAAAAAAAAAGTTAATTTGTGTTGTCTTGAATTGTAACTATTTACTTGGCCAAGGTAACTGTACTTGAAGGTTAATCTGTTGGGATTTTTTGGCATTTTATTTTTTATTTAAATACAAAAATTATTTGTTGGTGCTTCTTCGTTTTCCATCCTAGTTGTGCTTAGCTTTTACTATATTTTTTTTTTTACGTAGAAACTTTGGCCTTTTAAGATAGGTAATTATTAACAGGTCTCACCAGTCTGTTTTGAGAATTTGTTAGTCCCTAAGTGATATATATTCTTCTATTTAGAGTGATTGAGTAGAAGACCTACCTTCTCTTTCTAAATTAGGTCAGAATTTAGATTAACAGGTCTCACCAGTCTGTTTTGAGAATTTATTAGTCCCTAAGTGATATATATTCTTCTATTGAGAGTGATTGAGTAGAAGACCTACCTTCTCCTTTTAAATTAGGTCAGAATTTAGACCTAAAGTGAAAAATAATTTATTTGGTGTGATCTATTGAATAGAGGTAGCGATAGTAGGGCCTACTTAAGAAATTACTGTGTGAAAATGAGGATGAGGCTCTGAACAGCAACAGTGAGGCCAGTGCTGTTGGGAACCTAGCTAATAAAGACCACTGATAATCTGACTGTAAAATATGCCTACTTTGACATAGAAAAATCTGTCAGGTTTTAGGTTGTATACACCTTTTGCTTCATTGCAGAAGACTGATTGTACATTATGTGAAAAATGACATGATGGATTTTTGTAGTGAGACTGCTGTCCAGTTGTTCACATTGTTGTATTTGAGTCATTAAGACTGAGTATGTATTTTTCTTAATTTTCTATGACTACAAACTGGATGTAAAAAGTGCAATGAGTTAATGACATTTCTTTTTTTTGCCAACTCTGTGGAGAGTGACTTCATCTTCTATATGTTTTTACTTCACAAACACTTTGAGACTGGTTTTAGGTCTTTTGTTAGTAATGGAAAGTACTAAATGAATATTTTATTTGTCTGCCAAAACTTGCTTTCATCATCTAAGGAATATAAGACACTATTTATGCTGATCAATTTTGTTGCCCTCGAGTGGGAGAGACTTTGACATTTCCCTTAAGTCAGAAGAATATTATGTGAAGTAAAAATACCTCTGGCACTTAAATGGCCGAAAGTCATTCCATATATTGGGCCTGTATCCCACAGAAAGTCTGAGTAGAATCTCATCTTTGTGCTCAGTGATCCCCTGTATGATTGATGAACACCCCTCACTCAAGAGCCTTAATGGGTCTATAGACAGGACAGGTCGGTTGTTCCTAATATGAAATCATGGGTCTGTTTCTTTGAAAGTGTTCAAAATGACCTGAGACACAGACTGGTGTAAAATTGTATTTGTGAATGATGTGACCTACCTGCATTTTCTACTTGGGTTACCTTATCTATGAGACAGTGATCCAAATAAAACTAATTAATTCAAAATTCATGCTTATGTTAACATAGAAAATCGTTATCTTATTTCTGTTACTAAGTTCAAGCAGGAGAACCAGAATATTTAGAGCAGCCATCAAGAACTGATACTTCAAAGCACTTAAAAGAAGATTCTGTACAAGCAATCAATAAAGCTTTAGCTGAACAAGAAGATAGAGGTCCAGAAGCTATAATGGATACGGTGAGGATATTTTGAAGCTTGAAATACTTCTTTTGCTTTTATTTTGCAAATGGAAATGGTTTAATAGCTGATAAAAGGGGAGTATGTGTGTGGAAACTTTGAACTGAAAATAGCTCTTTCTTCAGGGACTGTCCAACCCTACAGTCCATCCAGAAAGAGTGTACTACAATAATGGGTGTAGCAGATGAGAAAGGCTAAGATAGATGTCCTCTATGTGTAGTCAAGAGTACAGCATATTGTTCAAATAACAGTCATTTTTTTGTACCCACCAACTTTCAAAATGTTAGATGGTTCCATTTATTTTTGAGGAGCAAACTTTGACATTCCATGTAAAAGACTTGAAAAATACCTCTTTAAACATTCAGATTTTTATCTGAAGCTTTCAAAAATAAGAGGATTTTCAACAGTATTTTGTGGCTTTAACGTAAATTCACAACTTGATGAAAATTATTTTTTGTGATTCATTAAATGCATATATTAACTTAAAATAGTTATAAGAATTAGTGTTGGATGATTCTGTTTCTACTTCATACAACAAATTTTAAGAGGAGTTGGAAATTAACTACTTCTTGAGTTAATGAAACTAATATTTAATAGTTTTTTCTTTCAGAATATATCTTTTTGCTTCCCTATAAGTATACAGATAAGTGACCAATGCATTTGCCACAAAAGCAAGTGCCTTTAAAGCAATACATGTATCTGTCTTGAAACTGTATCTATAAGGATAAAACATACATAATGTACAGTATAGCTTCCTTGGGTACCCCTAGTAACCACTGGAGATAGGAACAATTTACATCTGTGCAAAATTTGAAGCGTATTTCCTAAGTTCAGGTATGAATCCTCATTAAACAAAAGCAATCTAGCCCCAGGTATCTTTGGGGCCAGCAGGAAAGTCCTTAAAGCCTTTGAAACTGACGTGACAACTTGTTGACTCTTACAGCTGACATGTTTTCTATCCCTCTCTCCTCTGGTGACAGGAGGGCAGAGAAGCACACTTTCTCTGCTAACCTGAAATCAAAGCCCCCAGGAAGACTAATCTAACCCTGGATGAGAAGATGCTCTATCACTAGTGATTTAGGCTGCAGTGTATCTGACTTTTTTGAGTTCTTAGAACACAGAACAGCTTATGGGGAGCCTGTTTAATATGAGTTACCTCCAGCTGAAGGGGTAGCTATGAAGATACCAAACCCATGATAAAATGTCTTGCATGATGCTGTCCTCTTTCTAGTGTCTGTGGGCATACATCCCAGTGGGATATGGAAGAATCTCACAGAATCAAGTGGTTTGGTTTTGGCTCATGAAACTTTGCATAGTGATCAACCTTAGGACTTTACAAGTCTGTGACTGAGGAAGGGGGACATCATGATAGGCTTAATGAGGCAGATGCAGGTTGCCTTATTCCAGTTTTTTCACTGCATTGTTCTGCAGCAAGGTGGATGTCTCTTTAAAAATGAAAACAAAAAACCCCAAACCATGCAAACTCTTTTATTTAGAAACAAATGTATTTCAGCTGTTAGAATCTAAAGCCAGTTTCTAGCTAACCTGAAGGTATTCTGTTAATGTTTAAAAGCTGCTCTCTGTATACCCAAATTTAACTTAGGCAGAGTTGTGCTCCCTTCTCAGTGTATCAGCATGCTTTTTTAATTATTCTACTTCCATATGCATTCTGACATGCAGGTGTATATTCCTTTCCTCCACTTTTTGTTTGTCCATTTTAAGAGAAGGAAAGCCAACATCCAAACATGTAACAAACAGGATTGTAGGTTAGTCACCACATGATAATTTGTGTCCATTTTTGCCCTTTTGTCCTTTTCTCTGCCCTCTGATTGCACAGTCTTCCTTTTTATTTATACAGTGCTGGATGTAAATAGATACTATGTGTATTTCTGGAATCTTTGTTAAAAAATGGGACTATTGTAATAGTTGAAGAACAAGTAGCGTGGCACTCTGTGATTGCGTAGATTACGGAAAAGGTTTAAATTCTGCAAATGTTTTAAACTGGCTATTATACAATGATAGACCATAGGAACTGATATTCGTCTCTGTTATGGTTTAAAACTTACTTTAACATAGCAAGAATTTCAGTGATTAGCATAATCTTCCCCTGTTTTTCTTTCTAAAAAAAACCAAAACCGACCAACCCCTGTTGAATGTAATGCACCTATAAATATTCTTTCAAATATCTTAATTGCTAGAGGCTTTTTTGTATATTTTTCCTGGAGCTTCAGGAAATGTTAGCCTTCGGCTTGTTGCCATCCCTTAGTTGTTCATCCCTTGTTGCCATCCTTTAGAATTCATCAGATACTTCAGATGTATTTAATAATTTTTTAGTGAAATGTATGAAGAGAAGTGGTGGTTCACAGACCTGTCCTTTAATGGGTCCCTGCCTTAAATTAGTAATTGATATTAGAGTTGCAATACTAACCTGTTAAATGTAATTAGTGAATAAAGAACAAACAAAATCTTTTCGATAATTATGTCTTAATTTTAAAATGTATGGCTTAAAAAAATTAAGAAACTGTAAGTAATTTGAGAATATAAGTGATATTTATATGCTTTTTTTAGAACTTCAGCAGTGCACATCATTTTACTTGATCGGCCTGACAGTTTGTGTCTTTCCATAATTTTCTCTATTTTCTGATTTTATTTTTTTTCCCTCCTCACACACCTACTGATAATGGTTTTCTTCTGCAGAGCTCTGATAATGCCCCAGCTCAGCCAGCTTCTTACCAGCGAGTTGTAGAGGTGGCGATTCCTGATGTAGGGACTTTTGTGATTGAGTCAGAGGAGGGGGGTTATGACGATGAGGTACATTTGATTGCAGTTGTGTGCACCGCTCCTCCTTGGTGCTTTCTTGTGCTGCCTGATGAGAGTTTTTGGCATGTTTGCACATTATGACACCTAACAGGTTTCTGCAAAACTAAATGCTTAGCGATTTGTAACCTTAACAATGTCTTAATTTGTAATGAAATATGAACGGAAAGCACTAGCAACTCTAATTGGACACGCTTTGCATGGTACCATTTACACTGGAGGTATATTTGTCTTTTTAGCTGTGGAAGTTGAATGTTTGTGTTAGACCAGATAGCATTTGAAATGTGGGTGATAGACTGCAGACTACTGCACTATTTAAGAAGTGACAGGATAGTGAGTGATGTTCTTAAGGTTTGGCTTTCTTGTCAGTCCAATAAAGCTAATGTTCAAGTCCAATCCCTTATTTGCCAAGATTAAGCTTTTCAGACTTCAAGGGTTAAATTACCCATGGAATAACCTGAAACTGATGTGTCTGGTGGAGCTGACTCTTCCAAAGCTTAAGGGGGGGCCAGGGGAATAAGTATTATTTTTTCCCACTTCAGACCCAGGGTAGTGTGTGCCTGGTACTACTTGAGGAACAGTTAAGAGACATTATTTTCTGCTGCCCTGTTTTAGCAGCAGCAAACACCACTGCAAGGTCATCAAACTGTCCTGCCTTGACACTGCTTACGCCATATTTGTTTGGATTGGGGATAGCATTGGTGCAGCCTATATTCTCAGGTGTCTGAGCATTTGTTCTTGGTGGGCTATGGGGAGCTTTTGCTTCCCTGGGCAAATGGATATTTCAGGTCACTCTGCCCTCTAATTGTAATCAGTTGTAACTGCGAGTATGGGATGGAGAATAAAATTATTTAACTGACATCATCATACTGAGTTTAGCTTCTCACAGATGAGTAATTTCCACCTTTAAAGACATGAGGATTTAGCCTCACCTAATGGTCTACTTTTTGGGGGTTTTTTGTTCCCCCCCCGTTGTCCCCATTCCTGATGTAGGAATGTCCCCATGCCATTGTCTTTCTAGAGGATGATAACTTTCTTCCTCATTTCCCTTTTGTAAGTATATTCACGTTTTTGTTGTTGTTCTTATGTGTGGGAAAGTCTTCTGGAGAGTTTAGAGTTTTTCATCTTTTGTTGCTGTGCCAGCTATACCTTGGGAAGAAAGAGAGGGAGTGTTTTTCTTTGCTTTAAAGATAACAAAGGGGAAAGGCCTTTCTGAGTAACCTAGATGTATGAAATTGTTTGTATATAATTAATGTGAATAGCCACAAGATGTGTGCCTTATGTTTGGCTTTGTGATTGTTAAATGTTTTGGGGCTGATTTTTAAGAATTTATCTGCAAATGCTTCAAGGACCAATTGCATTTTCAGGAATTAGTACCTTATTTTGATGTTGAAATATGCCTAAAATACAGGCAGTGTCGTTTATTATGTTTTTAGTATAGTATATATAGAGTGTGATTGGGTGATTTTTCTACTCAAGACATTTTTTTTAAGCATTTAGTGGCCATGGGTAGCTCTCATTCAGTATCCAGTTTCTGCTGAATGATGCATGTTCCTTTCCTGGGACATTTTGACCATGTAACTTTAAATAGTATTTGACACAGTTTTTCAGTTTTTTGGGTTTTGGGGTTTTTTTTTTGGTAAGCTTCCTTTAATCATGTGTTGTTACAGTAAAAATATATACACGTGCCACGACTGATTTGCAGAGTATGCACACCAGATCTGTATTGAAATGTGCCATTTCAATGTATGCATGTATTAAGTTGCTTTTTATCTTGCATGAGACTAAAAACATATTGAAATTGGTCGTTAAAATATTAATCATTCAAAACTTTTACCTTAAATCCCTTGTGGCAGGTCATGCTGACCCCGAACATGCAAGGTATTATCATGGCTATAGGTAAAGCCAGGAATGTTTATGACAGGTGTGGGCCAGAAGCAGGGTTCTTTAAGGTACAACTAACATTTTCAACTTTTTCTCCTCTGACTTCTCTTGTTAGATATGTCTTCTCCCTCCACCCTTTGATTCATATTAAGACTGTTAGAGCATTTATACCTACTATTCTGTGATACCAGTCCTCCTTTTAGATATTTCTCCCTTAAAAAATAGACAGCTGTTTCCCCATTGATTCAGCAGTACGCTGCCTTGATTTCAGTAGCTTATCACAGAATATACCTTTCTGCATTTTAGCTTTCTAATAATAGTGGCAAGTAACATGAAACCTAGATATGTAATCAATAAAAATACAGGTTTTTTTCCCCTGTTAGTAACAAAAAATGTGCCTTCACTAGACTGTTAGGGACGTGTTTTTTCACCCAGGGACATTAGTGTTTAGTCATTTGTTGTTTATTTCAGTGATGTTCTTGTTTTGTACTCTTTAAAAGATTTTTAGTAAATCTAAATTACTTTCTTTTGTGTAACTGCATGGATGTCAATACTATTTATTTATGGAGTGCTTTATTATTGGGAATTAGAAATCAGCCTTTTTGTGGTTATTACTTTTCATAATGATAGTGGATTTTAAAATGTGTTAGTCTTCTTAAATACACAAACTTCTGAGCATTTTTAGCTCATAATCTTTTGAATTTTCAGGGTATTAGAAAGGGAATTACTTTGACATGACCTAAAATTCTCTCAAATGGAATTTGGAGAGGGGGAAGAAGTTTCTTGCTTGTTGTTGAGTAGTAGTTTGTTTTCTTATTAATTGTTATGGTGTAGTTGCACTAGAAGAAATTGTAAAAACCAAAAGAAACAAACAAAAAAAACCCCAAACCACCAAAACCAGCCAAACGACAACCAACAAAAACCCAAAAAACCCACCCACTACCACCAAAAAATTCTCACACCCCTTGGTAAGGAAATTGAAATCTCATGGGTTTGTTTGTTTGTCTGTTTGTGTGGTTTTTGTAATGGACATTTTGAGAAGTGTTATGACCATAACACATGTTTACAGGGCTGGCTCTGTTAACTGTGGCTGCCCTCAGGGAATGGAGAGACACCTGCCATAGCCTCTGTTTAGTGAAATAGGTTTTGTTTGGGATTCAGATGCTGGGTTTTTTTCAAATCTATTACTTAATGAAAATATGTAAGTTTTTTTTTAAGTTGAAAAAAAAAAAAGAAAATCCTCATTTGATCAAATCAAACTTTTACTAGAAAGTTTAAGGACACCAAATTATTTCTTGAATATGAAGGGTGCTTTGATAGTTTTAAAACAGAAATGCAGTTCAAAATAAAATTATACTTAGTGCTTCAGAGTTATTAAAACAGTGATCAGTTGAAATGTTTTTTGGTCTTTAATTTTGAATGCTTAAACATTTTCACTTCATGGTGAACAGAATTTGTCTCTGAATGAGAAAATGTTCTGACACCGAATTGTTAGAGAGTAGAACAGTTTCCTTGTTTTCTGCTGAATCATGTTTGCAGTCACTTAGAAGAGGTGGAACATGCTTCATTTTTGAGGAAAACATTAGTATCAGTGTATGCAGATGAAGTGGTCCTACAAGACATATTTTGAAATGTGTCAGATGAAATCTCATATTACTCCATAAACTTATTATAAAAGCTTCTATGATATTTTTTAATACTGTTATACTCTGGGTTTCTTCATGTGTTTATTTTTTATAAAATTGTGTTTACAGAAAACTCTGTAATTTTTTCTATGATATGATAGTAAGGGCCTTCAACCTGTTGCCCTGAGGAATGCAGTGGGCACTGCAGCACAGGCAAAGTCCTACAGAGACCAGCCAGAAACTCCTGAGGTAATAGGAGCCAAGAGGGTAGCTTCCATGAAACACCTTGGGGGAATAGAGGGGTGTCTGTCTAAGAAGGTGACACGGCCACCAGCCCAGCTGAAGTGCCTCTACACCAGTGCATACAGCATGGGCAACAAACAGGAAGAGTTGGAAGCTACCATCCTACTAGAAAGCTACAACATAGTGGCCATTACAGAAACTTGGTGGGACTGGAGTGTGGCTGTCGATGGCTACAAGCTGTTCAGAAGGGACAGGAGAAGGAAGAGGGGTGGAGGTGTTGCCCTCTATGTTAAGAAATGGATAGAGTGTGAAGAGTCATCCCTTAAGAATAGCCATGAGCAGGTTGGAAGCTTCTGAGTAGGAATTAGGGATTGAGACAACAAGGGAAACCTTGTGGCTGGTGTCTACTACAGGCCACCCAATCAAGGGGAATCTATCGATGAAGCCTTCTTATTCCAGCTCCAGGAGGCATTGAGCTCACAGGCTCTCATCCTGCTGGGGGATTCAGCTACCCTGACATCCATAGGAAAAGTAGCATGGCAAGCTGCAGGCAATCCAAGAGACTCCTGGAGTGCCTTGGTGACAACTTTCTAACATAAGAAATGGACAGCTCTACTCGAGGGGAAGCAATACTGGACCTGATGGTCACCAGTGCAAGTGAGCTGATTTGTGATGTCAAGATTGGAGGCAGTCTGGGCTATAGTGATCATGCACTGGTGCAGTTCACTGTCCTAAGGCATATGAGTCATATGAGAAGCATAGTCAGAACCGCATTGTCAGGACCCTGAATTTCAGGAAAGCCAACTTACAGCTCTTCAAGGAGCTAGTCAGTAGGGGCCCCTGCAAAATGGCCCTCAAGGACAAGGGAGCAGAACAGAGCTGGAAGATCTTTAAGGATGTTTTCCACATAGTACAAGAGCTCTCAATCCCCAGGTGTAAGAAATTGGGCAAGGAAGGCGAGAGACCAGCATGGCTGAGTTGTGACCTGATGGTCAAACTGAAAGGCAAGATGGAACTATATAGTCAGTGGAAGCAGAGACAGGTAACCTGGAAAGAGTACAGGGATGTTGCCCAATTGTGTAGGGATGAGGTCAGGAAGGCCAAGGCACAGCTGGAGCTGAACTTGGCAAGGGATGCCAAGAAAAACAAGAAGGACTTCTACAGGTATGTAAACTGAAAAAGGAAGGTTAAAGAAAGTGTCGTTCCCGCCCTGATGAGCAGCAATGTTGATCTAGTAACAACAGATGAAGAGAAGGCTGAGGTTCTCAACTTTTTTGCCTCAGTCTTCACTGGCAACCTGTCTCCTCACAGCTCTCAAGTTGATGGCCCACAAGTCAGGGACCAGAGAGACAAAGTCTCTCCTGCTGTAAGTGAAGATCAGGTTCGTGACCACCTGAGGAATCTGAACATACATAAGTCCATGGGACCTGATG